TATGGTGATTTCATTAGGAATACCTAGCATATCTGCATGACTAAAGGCAAACAAATCTGTGTTAGTTGTTAAAAATTGATTAAATTTACCTGGTTCTTGGAATTTGCAGCTGATGTAGGCCTTTTTGCTAGGGTCATTATGATCTAATTGAACGGGGTCGAGGTCCTCTATGGTTGATTCAGCGACATCCACCATCTCGGGATCAATAATGGCTCCTCGGCTTCGCCTTGTGGCAACCTTGACCCTGCTGATTGCTTTGCTTCATTTTCCTTTTCTTTCTTTTGTTGAGTTGTCGTGTTTTCCATAGCGATTTGGTAGCATTCCTGGAACGCACGTTGTTCCCTTGGTATGCTAAATACTCCCCAAGGTGTTGGGAATTTTTTCACTTGGTATAAACTGGAAGGGACGGCTCTCACGGGGTGTATCCATGGTCATCCCACGATACCGCTATATGCCGTGTCCTGGTCCATAATATAGAATTTTGTCTCTAGAGTTACTCTACCAGCGAGAACAGGGAGTGTGATTTCTCCCGAAATCCGTTCAACTTAATTATTAAAACCAGTTAGTGTAATACAGCGTGGCACTATCCTATCCTCGAGTCTCATCTGTGCGAGGACTAAGGGATGGATGATGCACGCTCCACTTCCGTCATCTACCATAATTCTTTTAACATCGGTATCTAGAATTCGTAAAGTAATGACAAGTGCATCATTATGAAGGAAAGTCAAATCGTTGGAATTTGACTCTTCAAAGATGATAGTTTCTTTGAGTCCGTCATACCGTTCGTGAGTGATCGATCTTTTGAGATTGTGGGTGGCGGTGAATTTGATGTAGTTGATAGAGGCATCGTCGCTACCAATAGTAATCATATTGATGGTACGAATTGTTGAAGGGGGATTTGGTGGGCCTGGACATTCTCGACCCCTCGCCAAGGTGTTCCTGCCTTTGTCGCTGAGTAGTTCTTTAAGGTGCCCTTGCTGCAGCAAGTTTGCTACCTCTAGTCTCAGGGCGATGCAATCTTCTATTTTGTGTCCACACTCTAGGTGGAACTCGTAGAGGGCGTCAAATTTCCTTGTATTTGGGTCTGACCTAATCTTGGGCAGCCATTTGACTTTTGTTCCAAGATTATCAAGAGAACATACCAGTTCTATAGGCGATATGCAAAAATTGTGAGCAGATAATAAGAGGGGCATACCTCGATGGTTCCTGTGAGTGGATGATCTTGGCCTAGACGGGCCATCTTCATAATAGAAGGAGGGAACGAGTGTCCTGAAATAGGGTTGGTGTCATTCCCTGCCCGGCCGTGACACTGGGTGGTCTCTCCTCGTACTACCTCTACGTTCTTTACTAGTGTCAGATTGTACCTAGGAGAACCATTGAGTTTGTCCATTGAGGTCGCCGTCATATGCTCTGACCTCGGCACAGTAGGCATTATGGATTTTGTCCCAAGTGGCCGGTGGATACTTCATGATCCCACTCAAAAGCTTTCTGGTCGCCCTCGAACCTTCTCTGATCAACCCATTCTGAAAGGCTGCTATGACCATCTATTCATAAACATTTGGTAAGGTCATCCTCACTCTGTTGAATCGAACGAGGAAGTCCCTCAGTACCTCTCATGGGGATTGCTTAATGGCAAATATGTCGTTTACTCTTGTTTCAGCTTTTTTGGCCCCAACGTGCACCGTCACGAACTTGTCGGCCATCTCTTCAAATGTTTCTATGGAACACGCTAGTAACTGTGAATACCATGTTAACGCCCCTCCAGTGAGGGTTTCGCCAAATGTATTCAACAATATGGAGGACACCTTCTCTTTGGTGAGGTCATTGCCTTTCACAGCCGGTAACTTAGTGAGTCACATGTTCTTCGGGGTCGGTCATCCCATCGCAGATTCTGAGATATGGAGGCATCTTAAAGGTTTTTGGTATGGAATATGGGGTGGCTTATTCCTTGTTATACGGTTGTTCTACAAACCTGCCCGCCTCCCTTTTTAGTAATAATTTAGGGGCACCTAGTATTTTTATACCCGTTCTTGGTGCTCTTTCATTTGGTCTTTGAGTGCCTTGTTCTCATTTTCCATTTCCTCCATTCTTTTTAGTACGGCGGCGAGGATGTTTTCACCTGCATTGTCCGTAATAGTGTGAGTATTACCTGGAGTCGGATGGTCTGGTTTGTCATCCTGTTCGTTCCCACGTTGTGCTACATGGATTCTCGTGGTTTCTGTGGTCGTGCATGAGCTCGTTTACTGAGTACGCTGTCTAGAGTATCAGTTAGCCATTCTTCGAGGAGCTTTTTCATAGTAGGTGGCGCCCCTTCTCCCGTGGATATGGAGGCTCCTATCCCATTTGGTTTTGTTATGCTGCAGAAAAGGGCAGGTGACCTCTCTCGCCTGGGGGAGGCAGTGGGTGTCATTTCTTTGCCCTGCCTTCGTTGATGGCGTTCATGAGGTTAAGGGAAACGTTATATGTTTCCCTCGTTCCGTTTCCTTGATTACCCGCCATGGAAGCTTTTGCACGCACAAAGAGAAGAGATAAACTTTGTGGTTGGTTAGATTAACAAGTCACGTGAGTTATGGATCTAATGGAAACTAAAAGATTGGCTAAGAATATTCCCACAGACGGCACCAAACTGTTTGACCCAAAATTTATATCTAGGTTTAAAAAATTAGATTTTCTAATAGAATAAAGTTAATCTTAGCTAATATTAATATTCAAAAGATCGTTTAATTAATTTTGTAACGAGATGTCGCGAATACTATTCGAGTAGTAATAAATAACAACAATAAAGCAATATTCAATGACTCAAGAACAAAGAGGATAGCTTTAAATGGCGATGAATGATAATGATGACATATATATAAATAAATGCAAGTGAGTCACCCGAAAAGGGTAAGATTCTTTGATATTCCCTCTGACAAAGGTGGATGATGATAAGCCTTAGAATCTTCAGATCCTCCTTTGATCATGGGAGAAAAGATAGGCACAAATATAAAGAAAAGGTGTATTTTGTATGTTAATGATAAAGCGAGAATCTTCAGAGAATGTCAATGTGGTATTTTTTACAATGAATGTCCAATCCCCTCAATAATTCTTTATCTTCTAGCACATGGTCCACAAAAACTCTAATAGTACATATATGAGGAATATCCCCGAGAATATTTCCTGTCTTATCTCTAAAACTAGTCGTGTCTGCCCTGCTAAAGGGAGTGCTCGTCCTCGTCCTTCTATTGAGTCAATTTGACCTCGTTTTCGTCCTTTCCCGGGCACTTCGACCTCGCCTTTGTCCTCTGTTGAGAACACATTGATGACGCGTGGCAGCCTTCGAAGGCTCTCTTAATGTTGACTTGGCCCACATATAATTATGATAATTCCTAGCTCATATATATATATATATATATAATATGTCAGGTTGTTTTGTCTCAAGGTGGTAATGAGTTCATTTTGGACAACCTCGAGGAGGTAATTGGGCCCTTGCAAAATTAAGGTCGTAAGGGAAAAATCAAGACAAGTTTAAGGGGCCCTTGTGCGTAAACAAAATTTAAAGCGAATTAATAATTTTAAATGAATACGAAAAATACAATCTTAATCACAAGGCATTGTAAGGACTAATCGTATAGTAAATCATAAACAATCCAACATAAACGGTAAACATAACTTTAGGACCATAGACTGAATGCTTTACGCAATATAATAATTAAACATAAATATAACTAATCAAGGCGATCAAGGAAATGGAAATTTTGCTCATGTAAACAATGTATCTTACAAAAAATTTAAATAATTTATTAATATTTCGCAATGTACGAAAAAATATTACTTAAAATGTACCTGAATTCTTGCCATTTTCTCGTTGAAGTTGAACGAAAATTTCTTCGTCTTCAAAAAAATTTGAAAAAATTTCTTTCTCCCATTTAATTATTTTCACATACGTTAATGAGACGATAATATATCTTTGAAAGAACTATAAAGTGAAAGTGGAAAGATAATTAACCAATGTTCATAGAACAACCTTACAACTTTTTATCAATACATTTTAACCCTCATACTTACAAAAGAGAATTTAAAAATAAATTTATGGTAAATATAAGATATAGTTCCACAATAATAATTCAGCTAAGCTATTCATTTACCTAACCGCTTTGCTCCTAAGAAAATCAAGAAAAGACAAAGCTGTTTCGTTTTTTCGTTCCATCAAATTAAGATCTCGCGATGACCCTACAAATGGAAAATTTGGCTTTAATTAGAGACTTTGTATTACTTGTCGTTGTATAACTAGTACTATCTTACATTTGGACTATTGGGGCTCGCCACTTCCACCTTAAATTCCATAATCCATGTTAAAGTACACAAATACTAATTGGACGGCTATCAATGCAATAGGTCTTAGTAGTTCTTTCTACATCTATTAAACTGCGAATTAGATTAGTCCGATATCTTAAAACCGATACCAAATATCAATAGGAAATCTTAAAAATAAAAATGCATGGGCAATAAGCCGACGGAAGTCAACCAATTAATTAAGATTAAATCATTAAAATGGTCACCAAGGTTTGCATGTGGATTAGTCCTCCGTTCTATACGCATTTCATTCTTATCGTGATCACGTTTTAAGGATATGATATTTTAAATTAAGAAGCATTGTACCTATCTTGCTATAATTTTCAATTTTACCCATCAAATCTGCTAAAAACTTTTGTGAAAGGAGTAAGATGAGGCAGAGTGTAGCTAATAATTTGCGAGGCTAATTAATTTTCGTTAAATTTTGTTGAATCCACTAGATAAAAGTGTAGAATTAGTAGAGACAGCTATAAGTGGAAAAGCCAAAAAAAAAAAAAAAAAAAATCACAAACTAGAAATCCAATTGCTAACTTTTCTAATAAAAAATTTTCAAAAGCACAAAAAAATTAATTGACCAGAGTGTGATGGGATTATATGTAGGATCCCTTCATGCGAATTTGGATTAGTAATCAGTAAATTTTAAATGCGAAGCGATTAAAATAAAATAGGGAAGCAGAGAAGAACAATCTTTAATTTCTATCCATTGTGTATTACTTCAACTAATTTATACCCCCAACAGAAATGAATCTCAGACCAACATTCTAATCAAACTGTATGCTTTACACAGCTCTAGACGTAAGACGTTGCAAATTCCTTAGCTTGAATTATGATAAAAATCAATACATGAATCCTCCTGTGGACATATTTCCTCTGGAGACCCTAGAGAGTCCACCACATCTTCCGTGCTCCACCCCGCACGTAATAACCTCTTTGACAATAACCTCACGTGCGATTCCACCCCTTTCTTGTCGACAAATACGCCGGCGTCACTGCGTCTCCTCCGGCCACCGGAACCGCCGTCTCCGCCGCCGTCCACCATCATCATCTCTCTAACATCCTTTTCTTTCCACCCCGCTTCCGTCAACCTCAAAAACACATCCTCTAAATACCCTTCAAGATCCTCACTCCACCACCGCCGGTGCTTTCCACCGCCATGCGCCGCCGCCATCTCCGTCATTTCCGTCCAGAACTCAATCTTCCTCGCCTCCGTCGCCGCCCATGCCGGCGCATTCAGCAAATGAAACAAACTTGGTCTCCTCAAACTTATCCCTTTGCTCTGAAACTCCACTTGCTGAAAAAAAACGGATATATCAAAACTCCATAATTTAACCTCCCCATCATGCACGTAAAACACAGGATTCCCAGCCAAACACGGCGTACACGGTATATAAAAATGCTGATAAATGGGAACAAGAACAGGGGCAGCTTCTTTCAAGAACTCTTTTGCTATATCCACAGCTTGATCATTATCAAATGGCCTATCACCCCAAGAATCAATCCAAAAATTCCTTTTCTTCACTTCTTTACACAAACTCAAGATCGGGAGATTTTTCAGGATTTCTAGCTGTTGTTGTGACGAGGATCGCCAGTTGGGAAATCCAGAGCCAGTGGGGAGACCTTCTTGAAGGATGGAGCGGAGATCAGGAGGGAAAGTGAAATTGAAATTGGATTCAATGGAAGAGAATTCTACGTCGGAAAGTCCTTTTTCGACGATTATGTTGGAAGATTTGAGGTGTTGTACGACATTTCTGGCGTAAGCTGCGTATGAAAAGCAAACTCTTGTTGGTTTAATTGGGTTGCAGATTGAAGTTTTGATGGGGCTTAAGGTTTCTGCAACTGTTGCTGTCATTGCTTATGGGAAAAACAGATCATTAACTAATGGAAGTGTTCTTAGGCTGTGAAATTATAAAGGGTTTGATCCGACGAAAATGAAAGAGAAAGTGAGAGATAAAGTTGGGAAGAAGTTAGAGTAAATAGTGGAGAATCAGGAGGGTTTGGGGGTGAGGGTCGTGTTTGACAATTATTCGGAAAAAAAGAACCAAACTTACCTGTACTTAGGGTCGTTTGGTTTGTCATATTAACAGAAATAATCCCAACAAAAATATAATTATGTACAATATTTGATTTTCTTGTATAGTATAACAAAAACTAATCGTCGCGTAATTTAATGTATAGTATTATACCATATTACTAATACTTGCATAAGTTAATTATTTATAAATTTGTATATTATTTTATGTGACATAAAAAGTAAAACGAAAATAATTGTAGTTACAATATATGGATAACTGTGACCAATGGAAAAAATAAAACCTTTAAAGTAATCTATGTCTAACATAATAATATTTACATATTATTTCCCGCATAAATGATCGTATATTATAGTTCTTGCATAACTTCTCTGTGAATAAAATGGCGTCTAAATATCAACTACTAATATTTTTAAATTTTTACCAATTAACCTGACTAAGCGATACAATTTTATTTTAATTAATGACTCTTATCAGAAAGCATTTGATTTTAATACTATCTTAACAGGTAGTATTAATTTCTCGGATGATGAGGAGGGGAGAAGAAGTCGTTGATGAGTGATGACTGATGAGGAAATATTGGGCGTTTGATTTTGACTGAAGGATATATAGACGAAGAGAAAATGGCCCGTGACACTTTGTTGTTACGTAAAATATTGTTCGTTAACACTGAATAAGTTGCTCTATAAGAAGATTGCGGAATCGGATCTTGAAATCTGGATGGATTACGGGAATCGGTCGAAAATTGTGGTCTCATTCTCATGCAATCTTATCATCAATCTACAATTCTGCTGTGTCAAAATTTTCACTTTTATTAAAAGAAAATTATTAAATATTCAAAATTCATCCCTATAAATATTACTATTAATAATCATTTATTCATTTTTAAAATTTGAACCGAAAATCATAGTTAAAGATAAAAGAATCTTATTTATATTTAATATTAATTACCACACTTTTACTGGTGTCAAAATTTTCACTTGTCATGATATCATGTCATTTTCTATCTTTTTGTTGTTTTCAATATTTTCTAACACCAAAGACCTTGAAGACGGCAACAACCCACCCACCCCAAAAAATTGATAACAAAAGAAAGAACTTAGTGATTTTAGAAGGAAGCTAAAAGAGGGAGAGTCGGAGAAACAAGTTTAAATGGTTTTGTTTGTATATATAATTTTCTCTACGAAGAAATTGAAGTATTAGTTGCTGTATTAGTGGTAACAAAGAGCTACACGTGGAATATTAGACTGCTGACATGGAATAACGCGTGGAACAATAGTATAGCAATACATGGCAGTCTTATTTGGAAGAAAAAGAAAAGGCATGAGAAGAAATACCCACAAGACAATACCGAACCTAACAACTGGCAAGGCATGAATAAATAGCAAAAAGAAGGGAAATATATGCATCGGAAGGAAATAAAGAAGGGGAATCTGAACAGATATAAGACATTTATAGCATTAGATGCGTCAGTTATAAGAATCCAAAATAATGGGCAATCAATATCATCAATGCCCATAATTAGCCCAAATTATGGGGAAAATCGTTAATATTGTATATTCCTATATAAGGGCACAAAATACTATTTGTAAGGACACATCTGAGACACAATTGAAATATACACTTTACTTTTCTGCTTTCTCGAAATTCTCTGCTTTGATCTTGCAATCAATTATTTCCTTATTTATTCTTGTTATTTTCCTTTGATACCGGTGAGAAGTGAAGCTAAACTTGGTTATTAGTAATCCGTTTTCTTCTAAAATTAGACTTTGACCGAAAGATATATTTTTGGTTAAACAAATTGATTCCGTTACCGAAAATCTGATAATCTTTTCACTTTCTAAATTCACTTTTCTGTCAAACAATCATGTCATCTGCCAACGACAACAACCAACTGAATCAACAGAACAAACAGGACGGAGGAACTCCAATCCCTTCACCTCAATATTCTCCTCGACAATCTCATGAGGGGACAACTCAAAGTTCAACATCACACACGAATGATCAACAAGGGGACGAGCAAACTGCTGAGGATGCATTAAAACAACTAATTGTGGAACACGTCAGCAATGCTCTTCAGGCTTTTGTTAGTGGATTGCCAACTATGCCACCAACTCCACCTCCAAACAATACTGCAATAATAGAAAACCCGCGGTCGGGACTTGCTAACTTGGGAAGCGGAGGAACCCCCAGCGAATCTCGCGATGGAAGGTCAGGTATCCCAATAATTCTGATTTACAAAGTTTAGTACTAACTTTGCAGAAATAGCTCAAGGAGCAGAATGATCGCATAGAACAAATACTTGGTGTGCCACCCGTTATTAAAGGAGTGCATATTGACAAATATTTACAATAGCCCTGGAAGCCAAGTGCAGCTCCCTTGCCGATTCCAAAGAAGTTAAAAATGCCTGATATTCCAAAGTATGATGGAACAACCGACCCACGAGATCATGTAACTGCATTTACAACTGGCGTAAAATATAATGATTTAACCAAGCAAGAAATTAAGTCAGTACTGGTCAAAAAATTTGGCGAAACACTCACGAAAGGAGCATTAACATGGTATTTTACATTCTCCTCAAACTAGAGCGAGAAGACCAGTGGTAATCAGAGTTGGGTAACCATCAACACGATAAAGGGAAGCAACCATGGAAGAAACTTGACTCTTCATGGATTCACTATTAGTCACAAAGGATAGCTGTTGAGGAACAATTTCATCAATAGTGGGTTCACGTAGAGCTTCAGTTGAATCTTTATCTTTAGAAGATGATCTTGGGGTTGCAGAAGCCCTAGGTCTTGAAGAAGATGGATTGGCAGCACTACTTTGAGAGGAGGAACCACGAGTAGAAATAGAACCGAGGCTACACAATCTACCACCTCTTCTACTTCTAGTAGATACATAGGAGGAAGAAAATTCATCGACGATGATGACTTTGTGAGGATCAGAGGAAGCCATGATTAACCAAAGAAACACAAGGAAAAGATACAGAAAGAAATAAGACAAGAAGACGAAGAAGGAAAGGCTTTAGAAAATCGGAAAAAAGGGGTGAAGTATTTATAAGAAGACACGACTATTGAAGTCATTATAAAGCGTCATAATGGAACCGTCACTTCGTGACTGATGCGGTTTCAGAAAAATCCTAAAAGACGCCAAAGAACAAAAGGACCCATTAATAAAAGCCATGTGGCATGATCATTAAATGAAAAGTGATGAACGTCACATCGGTTCAGAAAAAGGTACGATTATATTCGAAAACGGCGGTAGAGAATTCTCGCCCATTAAAAAAAATTTCCACTTCCCCGTATATTAAATAGAGAATATTCAAGAAAGTGGAGGACTATTTGTATTGGTGGTAAAAAAGAGCTACACGTGGAATATTAGATTGCTGACATGGCATAACGCATGGAACAATAATATAGCAACACGTGGCAGTCTTATTTGGTACCAAAAGAAAAGGCAAGAGAAGAAATACCCACGAGACAGTACTGGGATTAACAACTGGCGAGGAATGAATAAATAGCAAAAAAGGAAAGATACATGGACCGGAATAAAATAAAGAAGGGGAATTTGAACAGATATAAGGCATTTAAAGCATTTGATGCGTTAGTTACAAGAATCCAAAATAATGGGCAATCAATATCATCAATGCCTATAATTAGCCCAAATTATGGGGGGAAACCGTTACTATTGTATATTCCTATATAAGGGCGCAAAATACTATTTGTAAGGATACATATGAGATACTATTGAAATATACACTTTACTTTTCGGCTTTCTCGAAATTCTCTGCTTTGATCTTGCAATCAATTATTTCTTTATTTATTCTTGTTATTTTCTTTTGATACTATTGAGAAAGTGAAGCTAAACCCAGTTACCAGTAACCCGTATTTATCATTGTTATCAAATTGTGGAAAGATCTTATATCCAGATTTACTTGACCTTGAAACGGTATAAATTGATTTGATTTAAACTGTCGGATTTGAAAGCATATGTATCTTTTACATAAATCTTGAGTTCATTAGAACCATTCTCGAGATTTATCCACTTTGCTTAAACCTCAATTAGACTGATCCGGTGGTGGAATTAAGAGAGGTTAAGAGAAACCCTCGTCCACCATGCCATGAATAGTATTTTTGTCACCATTTTCCGGCCATAATTTCGGCATCCGGTGGTGGAATTAACCAAACTTGGTGTCAAAAGATACATATTGTCTTTACAATTAACATCCAATTGATTTCACCTTCAGATCTATAGTCATTCTTTATAGATCGTAATTTTTTGTTACTAGTTACTGTAGCATATAATCGCTACTACCCAGTATGCAAGTTTGCATGCTTCTATTACGGGTAACGTGTAGCTGGAGTGTTGAAGACCAACTTGGATGCCTTACTTTTATTCGGATTTATAAGGTTTGAAGCCAAAATCATCAACAGATATTAAGAATAATTTTGGGTGTACTGTAGCATCGAATTAGCATCTGCAGCTTCTTCGTACTAAGCTGCCCAGTTCCTTTTTTTGAAAATTTTCAGCGCTACTGCCTCTTGATAACGTGGATGTGATTTACTATATGGACTGTGGTTGAAATAATTTTTTGTATAAGGAGTGTGGAAGAACTCGATGTTCACTTTAGCGTAACAGATTCTGGAAACAAAAGTTGTTGCATTGACGTCGTCCATGACCTTTAAGGCCGACGAGCAGTCACCTACAATGGCTGGTCTGCCCTCCTAAGCATCCCCCTCCATTACAAACAACCCCACAACAATTCACAAGCCTTTAGATTACTCAACTATTCTGAAACCAACAACGATCAATGCACCAGTTCAAGGAAACACGTCAAAACAATGTACTGTTGAACCTATTCTATTTCGTCGACCAATCTTACTTCAAGGACAACCAATGGTTAAGTTTACAGAAGCAGAGGTAGATCGAATGAATAAGATAGAGGGTTTGCAATATGCTGTTGTGTGCAAATTTTCGTATGGATGTCCTGAGCTTAAGGAACTGCGTCGAATTGTCCCGATTCAATGTGGAATTAAA